ATAATCAGAAGAGATGAGATCAAATCCCTTGGATTCAAATTTGAAATTTAACAATGCTTTTATTAACCACCTACTATAGCCACTGGGGATACAAAGGCAAAACAAATACATGGCTTACTATGTGCCAAGCACTGTGTTAATGTTAGGGAATATAAATAGAAAAATGAGCCAGTCCCTGCTCTCAGGGAGCATGACACATATGGGAAAGATCAGTTATGGGACAGATAGAAAAGTCTAGATTTTGTCAGAAAGTTCTAAAAACAAGGCAAAGATTGGCAGAGAAGTCCATGATGCACATTTGAATTCATTCAACTCTTCAAACAAACCAGGAACAGCAGTACTGCCTTTGTATAAAACTGTGGCATCTAATTAGGAATCTAATCCTATTCTCATTCTTTCTCATCATGAGAAAAAAGATGAGTTTTCAAGTAAAGTTCTTGAATAAAACAAAGTCAGTGATATCATGACAGTCAAGGCCCAGCTGCCCTTAAGGTTCAACAGTAGGTAAGGCCCAGTAGGTTGGGAATCATAGTGGAGCTGACGAGGCTTGGTGGTTCTGATCCATTGGCAGGTCAGATGGAAAGGTTCAAGGGAATGGATTGTAGTTGGTTACTGCCTGCTCATCCACATAAGCATCCACGCCATCATCAAGGCACCTGAGAATGGGATTTGGACTTTTGTACCAAAATTTAAAGTATAGGGATGATGGCCTCCTGGCCCTGGGTGAAGTGCACCCAGTGAAGTCTGGTATTTGTTGGGTAGTTGGCCAATCTAATAAAAAAAGAGGCATTAAAGGATCATGGATGGGAGGGATGGAGGGGGATAAGAAAACTGTTTATGTTCATCTGTCAAACTAATTGCTATAAATTCAGAGGAGACAAAAATCTAAGAAAGAAACCAGTAGGAAAACCCATGGCTTCAAATGGCTAGATGTAAATTCTCAAAGTCTGTGCTCTGAACGAAAGGAATGAGATTTCCTAATGAAAGTGGGCAAATACAACCCCGTGCCTATTGCTATATAGAGAGAGGATTAATGAGGCAATGTCTCAAGAAACGGGAGGAAAGGGGCAGCTAGGTGGTGCAGTGAATAGAACACTGGCCCTGAAGTCAGAAGGACCTGAGTTCAAATCTGGCTTCAGACCAAACACTTGACACTTACTAGCTGTGTGACCCTGGGAAAATCACTTAACCCCAATTGCAAAAAAAAAAAAGTTTATGGAAGTGATTGTTGATAATTCAAAATAAATTAATAAAAGAAAACAAATTTCTTGGGACAGCTAGGTGGTACAGTGGATACAGCTCTGGGCTTGAGGTCAGGAGGACCTGAGTTCAATTCTGGCCTCAGACCAAACACTTGACACTTACTAGCTGTGTAACCCTGGGCAAGTCACATAACCCTGACTGTCATATATATGTGTGTGTGTGTGTGTGTGTGTGTGTGTGTGTGTGTATAATTTCTTATAATTCTGTTTAGAGCTGTAAATAGGAATTCTAGCATTTGGGACAAATTTGTTTTTGATGTGTAAGGTATGAGTACATGGTTGAGGTAAGACTGGAAGCAAAAGTTGTGACAGCTAAGAAGGTTGAGAAACTGGGAGAGCAGGGAGTACAAATGGGGCAGAAAAACCTATAAACCAGATACTGAACTTTTGGGGGAGGGGCAGTGACCTGGATGTCCAGTGAAGATAGCCCCAAGTCTTTGGGTAGGATGGCCGGAATTTTAATGAAGGGGACTACAAAATTGAAAATTGACTTTAATTCTATTTTTAAAACTTAGTCCAGCTGGCATAGGTTAATACTCCCACACAGAGCATGAGTATAAACTCCTTACCCTTGTAAGGGTATATCTACATTCTAGAGAAACTTGACTAAGATCAAGCTTTTATCTAGTAACTATGTACAAAAGTCTCGCAGGTCTCAATTCTGCTATTTTTGTCTGGTAAATCCCCTGCTGGGTATTCAAGTTGATTCAATCAAAGATGTTGCAGACTGCTAATCCTATCACATAAAGATTACTCCCAAGGAAGAAGTAACATAACTGGAGGATATGACATAACTCTTAACCCACCTCCTCAATAAAATATCTACCAACTGAGATTGTCGTTCCTTTGCCAGGGGAGATCTAAATGCTGTATGTCAGGCCAATCAGGAGGAAAACACACCTGTGTTTAAATGAACCAGTCAGGGGCAGCTAGGTGTCACAGTAGACCAAGCTCTGGTCTTAGAGTCAGGAGGACCTGAGTTCAAATCCAGCCTCAGACACTTGACACTTACTAGCTGTGTGACCCTGGAGAAGTCACTTAACCCTGATTGCCTCACTAAGAAAAAAAAAAAAGATCCTGTCTGCTCTCACTCTGGGCCTTTGGTCATTGAGAAAGACCATTGATACAACTTATTTGTTATTGCTACCCTAACTAATAAACTGATCATGCTGAGATCCCTGGCTTTGCTGAACTGGCCAGGACCCCTTTTTTAAAAAAAACAACAACTATATGTGTGTCACTGTTAAGAAACCATTACTGTGCTCTGAGGAAAATCATTCTTCAGTTTGCCACAGTGTCATTTTACTTACCACTAGAGTTTCTATTCAGTGAAGGTGACAGAGGGAAGGGATGAAAGTGGTGGTGAGAAGCGTGCCAGCTCCTCTGCTTGTCCATGTGCGTGCTAGGGAATGTAGGATCCTTGAGGGCAGAAAATGTTCCATTATTTCCAGTCATAAACCTTCTAGTCCGCATGTCTCCATGTTTTGCCTTGAGATTTTAGAAGTCAACCAGCAAGCATTTATTAAGCACCTGTTGTGTACAAGGCATCTGCTAGATGCAAAAAAGACAAAATTGAGATAGTCCCTATCCTCAAGGAACTTACATTCAAATGAGGGAGACAACATGTATAGGAGGAACACCTTTATGTGGGGTGGTCTGATTCAGACCTGCATAGTGTGTCCACCCGTGTTCACTCCTAGTTGTCTTATTCACCCCAATCTGCCTTCACACTGATAGGTTCGGATTCCCAGAGAAGGTCCAACATTACATACAACTCAAATTCAGTGTCCAAACCACAGGTAGTGGGTATAGGAATATGTGCTCGCCACCCTGAACTCCCACCTCACTTGCCCCTGTAGCTTTTGAGCCCCCACTGGTGTGCTTCCCATATATATGAAAGAAGCTATTCACAATGCTGGCAGTGTTAACTCATGGCAAAAAGATCTGTCACCCAGCAGACAACTTCCTAGGGCTGTCTGTCATCACAAGGCTAGGCTTTGGGGAACTGGCCCATTCTGTTGCCTGCATTGTACTGGAAGTTTTCATCGTAACAGAATCCACCAGAACTAGTACTCTACCTACATCCCACCCAAGGAGCCCAAGGCCACCTAGGTGGCAAATTAAGGGAGTCAGGACTTTATGGAGCTTCTGTGACCTTTGCTATCTAGCCTGTCTTTTTCAACCGATTGTCCCATTCCCCACTCTCTCACTAATTTTGGGGCTCTCTCTGCTGGTCACTTCACTTCTGCTTACACATACACACTCATGTTTGGCCAAAACAAGTCCCTTGATCCAAACATGCCACTTTGCTATTGTTCTATATCTCTTCTCACTTTTGTGGCTGAACTCCTTGAGAAGGCTATCTATAATAAATATCTTCACTTCCTTCTTTCCTTTCTGAGGCAATTAGTGTTAAGTGACTTTCCCAAGGTCACATAGCTAGTAAGTGTCTAAGGTCACATTTGACTTCAGGTCCTCCTGACTCCAAGGCTGGTGCTCTATCCACTGCGCCACCCAGCTGCCCCCCTTCTAACTTTCTTCATAACTCTCTGGGCTTCTGACTTCATTCAACTGAAACTACTTTCTCTAAATTTACCAGTGATCTTTAAACTGCCAACTCTCATGGCTGTTTCTCAATCCTCATCTTTCTTGACTTCTCTGAAGACTTTGACATTGTCAATCACCCTCTTCTCTTTGGTAGTCTCTGTAGGTTTTGTGACACTCCTCTCCTAGTTCTCCTCCTTCCTATATGGCTACTCCTTCTTGATGTCCTTTGATGGATTTTGTCAGTTGAGAGTTCTTGTTCAATCATTTTTGCATTTCTGTCTGGCTCTTCATGATCCCATTTGGGGTGTTCTTGACAAAGATACTGGGGTGCTTTGCCATTTCCTTCTCCAGCTCATTTTACAGATGAAGTAACTGAGGCAAACAGAGTGAAGTGACTTGCCCAGGGTCACACAGATAGGAAGTATCTGAGGCAGATTTGAGCTCATCCTGTTTAAAATCAATGACTGCGAAATTTGACGGGCATTATTTCATTTATTTAAAATATTAACAGAACTAACTTTGGGACATAGCAGCATATACAAACAAGTTTCCACATCAAAGGAAATGGCACTACAACCTAAAAGCATGTTAGACAATGCTGTCAAAATAATTAATGCTAGAAAATCAAAATTTTCTAAGTTTCAATTGTTCACCACTTTATATAGAGATATGAGTAGTAAGCACATGATGCTTCTAACATACAGATATTAGGGGGCAGTATATTACTCATCTATTTGAATGGATCAAATAATTGTCTTCTTTTGGCAGGGACTCACCCAAGCTCTCCCAATTCCCCTCCAAACAACTCTAAAATAACACATATGTATGTATATATATATATATATATATATATATATATATGTGTGTGTGTGTGTGTGTGTGTGTGTGTGTGTGTGTGCATATACATATAAATACATACATATATGTGCATGTATGCATGTATATATCCATATCTAGCTATCTCTCTACCCTTATGCACATGCTCCCCTTGAGCTAAAGAAGCACATTTTTAAGTTTCTGATTATCACCAGCTTGTTCCCTCCTTTACAAATTCATTCTTATGTGCACATTTGTAGGTTACGGCCACATCCCGTGTACCTTCCAGAGAGCACTTTGTTTTCCCCTTCTACCCATTTGCATTGTTTTTATTTTCACTGTCAGTATCTTCAAAGACCTTGGTTAAAGACCAAAATGAGCGCTCGGGAGCAGAAAACCGTCAGGCTGAGATCCACAGAGATGGTAAAGAATTGATGGTAAGAATCTAGGTCTGGGGGCAGCTGAGCAGGGACTGCCTGCTCTCAGTCACCCTCTCCCTCTTCGCCCCCTATCCAAGGGAGAGGGGGAAGGGATGTGAGAAATAAAAGAGTCGAGTTTCCACATAAGTAGATAGACAGAAATGAGCACGGTTATAAAAGACAGCAAACAAAACCACTTTAAGGCCAATCGATCAGGAAATAGCAGGTGGGTGATTAAGAAATCACAAATGAGGGGCCCCAACCAGTTCTGCAAGCAAATTAGGTCTAACTTCTTTTTTGTTGTTGTTGTTTTCTTGTTTTCATTTTTGTTTTTGTTTTTAGGTGTAACTTCTCCAGACAAGAAGGGAGTAACAACAATTCTAGGTACAAAATGGAGTGGGGATCACATGTAAGTAAAATATAAGGACAGGGCACGTATGGAAGATGTAACCCAGAAGGATCAGGGCCAATCCTGATCCAGAAGGGAGGAGTTAGGCAATTACTAACTATAAAGCTTGCTCTGGCTTCTGTGCCAGCGCGCGCTCTCGTTGAGATCGGCCAACACGGGGAACATACTCTGCTTGATGGTAAGAATCCCGGTCTCTGTCCCCCTACCCCGATTCACCCCCACCCCCAAGGGAAAGGGAGGAGGAACTGCTATAGCCTCGGCTCCAGAAGTCAGGGAGGACTATTCAGAGGAAGATCCCGAGCCAGCTGGGAAGCCTCTCCACGTTTTCCTCCCTGATTCTCACTCTCTTTTCCCAGCTCCCTCCTCCTCCCCTCACCCAGTCTTTCTCTTCCATTCCCCTTTCCCTATTCCCTGACACCCGGTGCCCCCTCCCCTCATTCCGTCCTCCCCAGTCCCCTCCCACCCTCTCCCTGTTCCTAAACTGGACACAAAAGGAATCCAAAGTCCAGATTCTTTCCTCTTGAATTTAGTGATAGGCAGAGGGGGAGAAGACTAGAGGGGTGGTGGAGGAAATTAGAAGCCTGTCTAAGGAGAGTGAGATGCTGTGTGGTAGGGAGAGGACAGGACGGGATCTCTGAGGCGAGGGAGGCCAACAGGTTCCTACAGTTGTTGCTAAGTCATTTTTCAGTCGTGTCTGAGTCTCCGTGATCCCATGTGGAGTTTTCTTAGCAGAGATACTAGAGTGGTTTGCTATTTCCCTTTCCAGCTCATTTCACAGATGAGGAAACTGAGGCAAACAGAGTGAATTGACTTGCCAAGGGTCACATCTAGGAAGTGTCTGAGATTTGAACTCAGGTCTTCATGACTCCAGGTCTGGCACTCTATCCACTGAACCACTTGGCATTTTATCCGTGAGGGAACTGAGGCCAGGAAAAGCTAAGGTGTTTTAGGTGGAACACTTTTGATAAGCAGCGAAGCCAAATGAGGCAATAATTCCCCTTTAGAGCCCTCGGACAGGGTTTTTTCACTTCCCTTCATCTCTCCATGGCCTCTCAGATTCTGATCAGGCTTGGGGGAGACAGTCCGACAACATCACTTGGAGACGGGAAGAGTGGATGGAGTCAGGAAGACCTGAATTTGAATCCTGCCTCACCCATTTACTAGGTTAATCTTCCAACCTTGATTTCCCTTCCTTCACAGAATAGTAACACTCAAATGAAAAGTGTGTAAAGTTCTCTGGAAATCCTTAAAGTGCCACATTAAGTGCGAATTAATCGTGATTAACATTACGTCATATCTGCATCCATGCCCCTCTCTCCTACACCCTCCCTCTCTTCCCCCCAGCCTTCCCAGGTTGGTGCTTTTTAAAGTTACAGACTGGTTAGAATCTCTCTTAGAGATTAGATCACAAGATCACAGGTCTAGAGCTGGAAGGGATCTTTGAGGCCATCAAGTCCAATCTCATTTTATAGATGAGGAAACTGAGACCAAGAAGGGTTAAAGGACTTGTCCAGGGCAGCACAATGAGTAAGTGCCTGAAGCAGGATTCTAACTCAAATCTTCTGGCTCCCATTCCTGTGCTTTCTGCAGTATATCCTGCTGTCTCTCAACATCCTCATTTTACAGATGGGGAAAATGAGGCCCCAAGAGTGTAAGTGGCTAGCCTAAGGTCAGCTAGCCAGTGAGTGACAAGGTCAAGATTAGAACCCAGTTTTCCTGATGCCCTGGACCATGCTTTCTCCCTTGCCCTCATTACCCCCTTCTTTCCTTCCCAAGATGTTCACCATCATTACGACGCAGCTCATGTCCTTCAAGGAAGCAGTGCAGTGTGGGATGGGACAGTACAATGTAGATGGAGTGTGCTGTTACCCTTGCCATGCAGGTAAGTCAGAGAGTTTCTTTCTCCAGAACAGATCACTGTCTTACTCTGGTAAATGCCTGCCTGTCCTAGGCTCTCTTTCTTCCTTCATATATCCATTTGAATTATAGTACCACAGAATCTCAGAGTTTAGAGGAGTCATGGAGGGCATCTCAGAGCTAGAAGGACCATGGGGGGCATCTCAGAGGGATCATGGGGGGCATGTCAGAGCTCAGAGGGGCCATGGAGGACATCTCGCCCAATCTCTTTCCCAGCATAGGAATCTCTTCTTGAATACTCACTACCTTATTTTTTTTTTACAATATTCACTATCTTTTGTTTATGGTTAAAGAGGAAGTTAATTATAAATAAGGGGGACAAGAATACAAAGGAAGTCCATTCTTCTAAGTAAAATAAATCACGTTTACAGAAGGTGTATGGATACTACATAATATTAATTTTTGTTTTGTTCTTCTTATTGGATGTGATACCCAGTACAAAGATTCCAGAATCTGTACCTAGAATATAAACTACATAACAGTAGCTGGGCTTACTTCTACACCAATCTCTAGCCACCTTTAGGAAGAGGAGTAGTGCCCCCACTGTTGAACACTCATTGCCTCATACCCTACACATCCCAGTGATTCTGAAACCCTCTAATTCATCATCCAAACCCTATTCTCCATACTCTCCCCTCTGGTTCCTTATTCTCATCCCTTTAACCCCCCACCCCAAAAAAGCACCACTCTTCCCTTCCACTGTGCCCCTTGGCATGCCTATTCTATAAGGCAACAAACTTCTCTTCATCCTAAATATTTTCCTCACCAACTTCATTCATCTACTAGCTTTTACTGAAGCCCACTTCCCCTCTAATGACACAGCCTCACCAACTGCCCTTCCTCGTATTGCTGTATCTTCACTTATTTATGTTATGCAACATCAATTGGACTCTCACCTGAGCAAGGTCAGGGAGTTGGAATACATACTCCCAATTGCTACATTCAAGTTCTCTCCCTTCCTCCATCGCTCAATAATTTTTCCTCCTTTGAAGTTCATGCAATTTATTTCTATCACCCAATTACAATCCTGGAAGCTGTTGTCTACAGACCTCCAGGTAACTTCCTTTCCTTCCTCAGTGAGTTCAATACTTGTCTCAAAATGTTTCTCCCTTTCTCATCTCTTGCCCCCATACTAGTAGAATTCAGCATACATATTGACTTATCCTCATACACGCTTGCCACCCAGTTCCCCAAACTACTCATTTCTCATGAGCTACTCCTCCACAGAAATTCAGCCATACACAAAGATGGTCATACCTTTGATCTTGCCGTCACCCCAAAATGTACAACCTTCTAGTTCAAGAATTCTGAAATCCTCTTATCTGCCTATAACCTATTTTCCACTTTCTCTCCTTATCAAGCCCTACCCTTCATCTGTACTGTGATATCCAGCTCTCAGCCTCTCAATTGTCTCCCAGATCATCTCCCTAGAACTAGCCACTCTATTTTCTTTTTGCCATCTTGACCCCTTGGTAAAAACAATTCAACTCTACACTGTCCTCTACTCTTGAATCCCTAGCCCCTTTATTAGCTTTCTACTTGTGCTCTGCCAAGCTTAAGCCTTGGATCACTGCCATCATTCACTGCCTTCATTCCTACGCATGTGCTGCTGAGCAAAAATAGAGAAAATTATACAACTCTCCTGACTGTCTCCACTCCAGAATTATGTTAAACAACATTAATTGGAACCTGACTCATGGTAGGCAATCCTACTCTGCTGCCTTTATCAACTCATTATCTCACTCTGCACTGTGGCTTTTCTAAATCTCTTCATCCCTCCTCAAGCCTCCCATAGCTCCCTCTCCCCTCACCCTCTCAGCTGAGAACCTTGCTTCATCATTTATTGAAAAAATTGAGCTCATTCATCATAAGTTCCTTCTTCTCTTCCCTTCCTCATCTCATATCACTCATATACCTTCTGCTACTATCTCCTTCTCCAAAACTCTCACATGATGCCTTACTCCCTACCAAGGCTAACCCCTTTACCTATTCAAGTGATCCCATTCCTTTCTATCTCCACCAATATATTGTCCCTTCTGTTATCCTCACTCTATCTTTTTTTTAATCTTTCCCTTCTACTGACTCCTTCTATACTGCCTACCCATATCCTTTCCATTCTCAAAAAAACCCCATTTGATCTTTCCATCTCTGCTATCATATACACATACATATATACACACACTTATGTACACACACATATAATATACATACACATATGCTGTATTGATATATATATAATATATTCATAATACATATTTATAAATATATATGAAATAGATGATAGGTAGATAGATATAGATATCTATCTTTTTAGATATCTGTATCTATCTATCTATATATTTATATCTTCTAATTTTTGTAGCCACACTCCTTGAGAAGGTCATGTACAATAGAAGCCTTTACTATTTCTTCTCTTACTCTCTTCTCAAGCCATTATGATCTGGCCTAAATCCTAAATATTCCATTGAAATTGTTCTCTCCAAAGTTACTAATGATCTCTTAGTTGTAAAATCAAATGGTCTTTTCCCAGTCTCCATTCTCCTTGACTTCTCTACAGCCTTTAACATATTGATTACCCTGTCCTTCTGGATACTCTCTCTTCTCTAGGTTTTCTGGACATTACTCACTCCCGGTTCTCTTCCAACCTATCTGAACACTCCTCAGGCTCCTTTACTGGATCTTCATTTAAAATATGCCCTGAAGTGCAATAGGTATCCACCAAGGTTCTGTCCTGGGTCCTCTTCTCTCCTCCCTCTGTACTGTTTCACTTGGTGCTCGTATCAGCTCCCATGGATTCAATTACCATCTCTAATCTGGCAATCCTCAAATCTACAAATCCTACCCAAACATCTCTGCCTTGACCTAAATTTACTGCATGTCAGAGTGGGACAGGATCTTAGGAACCAGATTAACTCCTGGATCTCCCCTTCACTACCTATGTGACCTGGAGCCAGTCACTTAGTTTCCACATCTATAAAACAAGAGCATAGGACTAGGTGACTTCTAACTTTCTGTGTTCTGAAGTTGTCTTCCTATAAATGAATCTTATGTTCTGAAGTCCCTCCCATCTCTGATATTCAAGATTCTGAGGTCCTTCCCAACTCTGACATTTTGTATTCTAAGCTTTATCTCCCATCTCTAAATCCTATGTTTTTAGATCTCTCTTATCTCTGACATTCTATGTCCTTGAGCTCTTTTTAATTCTGACATTCTGCATTGTTGTTCTGAAGTCCCTTTCAGTTTGGACACACTGGGTTCTAATGCTCTGAGGGTTGGGATATGGATATGTACCATCCTAATTTTCATAGTAAGCCATAGTAAACCCCCTAAATTTCATAGATGGCCTTGGTAGTTTTCTGGGTCTGGGTTTGGGTGTGCATATGGTGGTGTCAAGATGGTACTGGGGGGAGAGTGGGGCTGCAGGGAGGTGTCCTGTGCCTTGTTCTTGATGCTGACTCTTTGATACTATTAGGTTATAAAGTTAATGGGACATGCAGTATAATGACAGGCACCACATGTGTGCCTTGTGATCCCGGGACCTACACAGCACACCAGAATGGCCTGAAGAAATGTTTCCAGTGTAAAGGTTGTGATTCCGGTAAGAAGTACTTCAGGGGCCTTGGGGTCACTTAGATCCTGGATCTTACCCAAAGCCTACTCTTTCCTGGACTCTGACCTAAGCCCTCTAGTTTCCCTGGAAAGGAGGATTAGGGTCCAGAGAAACTCATCAATCTTGGACCTATGCAGACAAGATGGTGTGGGGGAAATCGACAGCCTACAGAGCAGGAGCTGGACCAGATTAGGAAGAGAGGCTGTGAGAGTGCTGTTCTGGTAGGTGAGAGACCTGGGTTCTATTCCAGGCTTTTCCTTATGTGACCTTGGACAATCATGTCCATTCTTTGGACCTCAATTTGCCCATCTATAACATGAGGGGCTTGGACTAGTTCCTAAGGTTCTAGGGCATAGTATTTCCCACCAAGGAAACACAAGATAGTTTATTCACACTCTCTCACACAACCCTAGGGCATAGACTATCTAAGCTGGAAGAGATCTCAGAACTAAGTCCTTAAAATGCCTAGGATTCTGAAGGGGGCAATCAGCAAAGGTGGTCCTTAGGAACTTGGGAAAGAGGTTGAGTTAGTCCCTAGAGCCCTACCAGCTCCTTAAATATTGCTGTCTACACTTTCCTGATCCCTAGCCATTGGAGTAGGAGGATTGTCTCAAGATCTGTGTTTCCACCTGACTCCCAAAACCTCTTCCTTTAACCCCCAGATAGGCTTGTCCTCCCCAGCCATGCTCTGGTATTTCCAATTACCTCTCCATCTCTCTGCTCTCTTCTGGTAATTCCCCTGCCCTCAGTTGCCTGCCAGGTAGGAATTACGCTAAGCAATTAATTCATACTAGATTGTGGGTGACTGCTGATCTTGCCTTTTCCAAGGGTATTTAAAAAGTAGGTTCTTGTTCACTTAAAGGAATGAATTTCTAAAGATGAATTTTCACCACAGTGATGGAGGATGGTTTTCAAGAACAAAGGACATCCCCTCCCCATGATCCCACCCCACTTTACCCCTGAAGTTCAGGTGGGGCAGGGCTACATCAAGCTGGAGAAGGGGGTGTGTATCCCTGTTGGTGGGGGATGGCAGAGAGGGAAGGCAGGTGAATGCTGGGTGGTGGAGCTGGCCCTGCTACCCAGCTCATCTACTTTGGCCCTTCATATTCTGGAACTTGGACTTCCCAATTTAAATAGACTATTTTGTATAACTAGGAAATATGCTTAAACATGTCAGATCTCTTGACAGTGTAGAGTGCTGGGGATTCTCCTTGTTCTTGCTCCCCCATTTCCCCTTTTCTTCCCCTCCCTCAGGGACTGTGACCTGCTCCCCTCAGGGTCTCTCCCTTCTCTAGCCCCTGTAGAAGGGATCACAAGATAACAGATCCAGAGTTGAGAAGGACTATACAGGTCATCTTATCCATTTCCTTCATCATACTGAAGAAATTGACCCAAAAAGTAGTTGCCTATCCAAACTCATAAGGCACTAAATAAAACAGTGAGGATTTGAACTCAGGTCCCATGACTGCAAATTAAGAACTTGCTCACAGCTTTTCATCTTTTCCTCCTCCAGTCTCACACATATTCCTTTTTAGAGTTTGAAAAGGTTATCACTCCCAGTATTGACACCAGGTGATGGACCCGGAAGAGTCCTAGATGAGAAGTCAGAGACCTGGGTTGAAATCCAGCTCTGCCATCTGCCTGATGTTCTGCCAGCCAGTCAAGAAATATTCATTAAGCGCCTACTATGTGTCAAGCACTAAAGGCTAAGTGCTGGGGATACCAGGAAAGACCCTGGAGAAGCTCACATGGGGAAGACACCATGAAACAACTCTTACAAACATGACATAGGCAGGACAAAGTGGAGATAATCTCAGAAGGAAGGCACTAGCCTTAAGGGAAATCAGGAAAAAAAGGAAAACAGGAAAACCATTCTGGACTTGCATTTGTTTATCTTTAAAGTGAGAGGGTTAGCTGCAATAACAAAGCAGGTTCCTTTCAGCTCTAAATCTATTCTTTACCCGTTTGACTAGGAGACTCAGGCTTTGGTAGCCAAGTGGTACACTAGATAGAGTGTTGGGTCTGGAGTCAGGAAGACCCGAGTTCAAGTGTGACCTCAGATACTTCTAACTTTATGACCTGGGGTATCACTCGCTAACCCTCAGTCTGCCTCAGTTATCTCAACTGTAAAATGGGAACAATAACAGCATCTACCTTTCATGGTTGTTTTAGAGATCAAATAAGATCATACCTGTAAAGCACTTAGCACAGTGCCTGGCATCATTTAGTGATGCTTTTTCCCTTCCCCCTCTCCCATTCTTCTTGCTACCTCTCACTGACTCTGTGTGATCTTGAGAAAGTCCTTTTCCCAACCTGTTCCTTAGTACACATACAGTGGGTGCAGGTAACAACCCTTGCCCTCCTGGAGAGGTTGGTAGACTGGCCTGAGATTGTGATGAACACAGAGCTAAGACAAAACCTGGTGGTTTGGCATAGCCAGGCAATCACATAGGCTGTGAGAATACAACTCAGAAATTTGAGTCTGTAGTGCTGGAGTCAGCCTCCTGCTCACAGAAGGGTCAGTAGCTGGCCCCCACTTTCCTGAGCCCACATATCCTGTAGCTAACCACAGAAGCTCCGTTCCTGCTTCAGCCCTGTAATACAATTCATTTGCACCTTCATTCTTCCTGAACAGGTCCTCCTGACCCCCTTGTGTGGCCTCTCGGCCTCTGGAAATCCTTAGGGGTTCAGACTGTGCAGAGGAATTAGACTCCCCCTGGGGTCCTCAGCTAGCTGTGGGGTGGGCTGAGGCTGGGGGTAGAGATACCCAGGACTGTCCTCAGTCACAGCTGCATCTCACAGGAAGCCACCTTCCTCTGCAGGGGTTCCCCTCTTGCCTAGGGCAGGTCATCAGAGAATAGGAGGGGCAAAGCCTGCATTGGAGGTACCACTTTCTCTGCTCCCTCCCACCTGCTACTTCTGCTTCTGCTGGCTTTGTTAGACCAGGGATAACAGCTTCCCCAAATTTTGAGGATGGCCTTGGGGAACCATTCACTATTCCCTCTTCTAGCTTCAGAACTCAGCTCTGTGCAACTCAGAGACAGGCCTGGCTGGAGAGCGTCTCTCCCAAGCCCACCTCTCTACACCACACCTTACCTACCCTTAGTCCCCAGCATACACGCTCATCCCAGGATCCCTTGACTCTATTTCCCCAAGAAATTTGGATTCATAGGGTCATGGGATTGATAAACTGAGAGGGCACTTGGAAATTATCTTACCTCAGTCTTTTTCTGCTTCTGTGACTGGGGGCAAGTTACTTCCCTGGCCTTCAGGTCTTCAATTATAAAAGGAAGAGGTTGGACTCATTGGTACCCAAAGCTCTTTCTAGTTCTACATCCTAAGATCTAGGTCAACCACTTCCTTCTGCAGAGGAGATTAAGGCCAAGTCAGTAAGTCATCAAACATTTATTAAGTTTCTACTATATGCCAGTCACTAGGCTAAGTGCTGAGAAGGAAGGAAGGAAGCAGGAAGGAAGAGAAGAGAAAAGAAGAGAAGAGAAGAAGAAAAGGAAGGAAAGAAGAAAGAGGAGTGAAGAAATGATTATTTATTAAGGGCCTACTATGTGCCAGGCACTATGCTAAGTGCTGGGGCTACATAAAAAGGCAAAAGACGCCGCATCTTCCCTAAGAAAAAGTAACACTTGAGATTTTACAGGCAGAATGTTGTCTCCTTGAGGGCAGGAGCAGTTCTGTCTTTGTCCTTGTAGCCCATCCTCAGCATAATGCTTTGTACTTTGTCTCTTCTTTTTCTTTTTAGAAGCTGATGGTGGGGGCACCAGGCCTGTGCTTTTACTTGCCCAGGGAAGAATATTCCTTCCATAAGGTGCCCATTATCTACAACACATAGTCTTAGAGGGGCCTAGAGTGACCTGTCCAGCATCCCTCAGCAACAAAGGATCTGGGGCAGTATTTGAGCCCAAAGCTGGGTGGGCTACCTCAGGGTACTCCCTCCTTGGACCTTTCCCAGCAAATGCTTTTGTTCTTTCTTTCAGAATCTGGCTTCCGGACCAAATGGGAACGTTCATCTACATTGAACACGTTGTGTGGCTGCTCTCCAGGGTATTTCTGCACCAACATAAAAGATGATGACTGTGAGAGGTGTATGGCTCACAGAGTCTGCACCCCTGGCCAATACATTAAGTCTACAGGTTAGCCTGCTCCATCTCCATCATCCACGCAGGCACCCAGAAATACTGCTGCTTCAGGCTGCTACCCTGGAAACCTGAGAAATGCCTAGCCCTCCCTCAGCTCAGGCTGCCCCCCAGGATGTAGTTGTGGTACAGTGAGAAGATGGCTGGATCTGGTGTGAGAGGGCTTGGGTCCAAAACTCAGCTTTGCCCTCACTGTCTATGTGATCCTGAGGTTCCTTGACCTCTCTGGCCCTTGCTTTCCTCATCTGTAAAATGAGGGGGTTGGATGATATGACCTCTGAGGTCTCTTCCAGATGGAAATTTATGAGTTCATGATCACAAAGTCCAGTTTCAGGTCCCCTGTCTTCTCTACTTGGACCTCAGACAGCGTGGGGCAAATGTGGAATTAGGCAGAGCTAGCAAAAGTCAACCAAGCCTCTCCACTAGTGTCCTCCTCCAATGTGCTTTGGTGGCACAAATGTCTCCAATCAAAAGATTCAAATTTTTGTTTTGTCTTTTTAAATGAAATATTTTTTTAAATTGACAAGAATTTATTTTCTCTTCTTCTCACCTTTCCTCCCTTACCAGAAGAGAAAAACAAAAACAAAAACAAAAACCCTTATAGCAAATTTTATGTGTGGTCAAACAAAGCACATTCATGCATTGGCCATGCCCAAAGAGAATACATGTCTCCATGGGTGCCTTGAGTCCTTTACCTTTCCATGAGGAGGTGGGTGGCATGTTTAAACATGAGTCTTCTGGAAGTGTAGTTGGTTATTCCATTGGTCTGAGTTCTGGAGTCTTTCTAAGTTGTTTGATTTTACAATATTATTGTTACTATATAAATTGTTCCCCTGGTTCTGCTCACTTCACTCTACATCAGTTCATACAAGTTTTTTCATGTTTCACTGAAATCATCCATTTCATCATTTCTTATGGCACAATAGTATTCCCTTACATTCCTGTTCCATAAATTGTTCAGCCGTTCCCCAATTGGTGGACATAGTCTTAGCTTCTAATTTTTTGTCTACAGAGAAATGTAAGCTCTAAATATTTTGCCATATATAGGTCCTTTCCCTCTTTCTTTGATCTCTTTGCAGGCATAAGATCAGAATTGGCATCAGTGGGCAAAAGGGATGCACAGCATAATAACTTTTGGGGTATAGCTTCAAATTATTTTTCAGAATGTGTGGACCAAGTCATAGCTCCACCCACAGTACATCAGCCTGTTTTCCCACAGTCCCTCCAGCATTTGCCATTTTCTTGTTTGTCAGTCTCCTCATCTGATGGGTATGAGGTGGAACCTCAGAGCTACTTTAATTTACACTCCTGAAATTATTAGAGATTTAGAGCATTTAAAAAAAACATGGCTATTGATAGCTTTGAATTTTTTCCTTTGAAAACTCCTTACTCCTACTCTTTGACCATTTATCATTTGGAGAATGGCTCTTATTCTTATACATTTTAATCAGTTCTATAGACAGCTCGGAAATGAGACTTTTATCAGAGAAATTTGGTGCAAAGATTTCCCACCCCACCCCTCCCCAGCTACTTGCTTCGTTTCTAATTTTAGCTGTATTGGTTTTGTTTCTACAAGATCTCTTAAATTTTATATGATTAAAGCTGTCCATTTTGTCCTCTGTGATCACCCCTCTCCCGTGTTTAGTCAGAACCTCTTCCCCTGTCCACAGATATGATTGGCAATTTGTTCATTGCTTCTCTTCTTAGTTCACGATGTTCCCCGGGTTCTTGAAGGTGACCCCCAAAGAATTCCAATTCTGGCTAATATTGCTGCACTGGAGGCTTCTAAAATAAGACCAGGGCTCTGGTTTTCTGGAGGTCTGTTTCTGAGGACCTGCCTAGTTTAGTACAGAGGGACTCAGCCCCATATGGGCTTCAGGGGATGGATGTTTCAGATACAACTCTGAAAGGCAGTCTGCTAAAATAGAAGGGGATCCCAATCTGCACTTGTAAGGAGAGGAACCAAGCTGCCCAAAGTGAAGATCCTTTCAATATTGAAAGAGTAACCTAACTGGCCTTGGAGTCAGGAGTACGTGAGTTCAAATCCAGTCTCAGACACATGTCACTTACTAGCTGTGTGACCCTGGGCAAGTCACTTAACCCCGATTGCCTCACCAAAAAGCAAAAAAAAAAAAAAGAGTAACCTATGTGGTCAAGTAGGTCATGTACTTGACCTTTCTAGGCCACAGTTTTCTCTCCTGTAAAATGAAACAGTAAGAGTCAATGAACTCTAAGGTCCCGTCTACCTCTGAAGCCACCATCCTGTAAGTGGGCAAAATCATTTGTATGGTTTCAGATAACTAAAATAATCATAAGTAAACAAGCATTTTCATAGTACCTACAGCATGCCAGATACTGTGCTAAGTGTTTTACAAATATTACCTAGAAAGTAGGTGCTATCATTAGCCCCCTTTTATAGTAGGGGAAACAGGTAAACAGAGGTTAAGTGACTTTCCAGGACTATATAGCTGGTAAGTGTCTGAAGCTGGATTAAAGCTAAAATCTTCCTGCCTCCAGGCCCAGCACTCTGTCCTCACCACCGAGCTGCTATACCTCATTCTCAATCTCCAGCTTCTTTGTAGAAGTAGGGACTGTGGGTATGGAACATTACTCATAATGTTAAACTTTTTTGATATATTGATCAGTTTCCTGAACTGTTTTTTACTTTACTTTTTTAAGATTCTTCATTCTAAGAGTTGACTCTCTGGGTAAGATAAGGCCATGAGGGGTCAGTTGGAGTCAGCCTGAATTACTCTACAAAGACCTGGTTTTAAAATTTTCAGTATGAGCACTGGAATTTCAAAAGTGGGGAAACAGTATAGATCGGGCTTAATTTATTGCTTTGTTAATTGCTTAGTTGTACTTTGTGTTCCTTCCCTGCACAGACCCCAAAGAATTAGCCTTTAAACATTATCTAGTAAGGGGAAATAAACATTGGGTAATGTAGATGATGCAGAAACAATAGATAGATAGATAGATAGATAGATAGATAGATATAGATAGATAGATAGATAGATAGATTAGATATAGATATAGATATAGATATAGATATAGATATAGATAGATATAGACATATAGATTTTTTTTAAATTTCTTGCTACAGGCCTGGGGAGCATTTCATAGAGTTGTTCATAATAATCTTTGCTCTGACACAGAGCTTCCAGGGAAGGTACTAACCAATCTAGGGACACTGTCCTAGCCACCATGTTTTGCTCTAATCCTATTGCTATGCTCAGCACCAAATCTCCCATGTCTCCTCCTCTTTCAGGCACAGAGAGAAACAACAACATCTGTGAAGAGTGCCAGGCAGGGGCATTTTCCCCCAATGGGACCCTTACACAGTGTCTGCCGTGAACCAAGTAAGTATATCACACTCTCTGGGACTCGGTGGTTCATTCTTTTTGCTTGTTCATTTACAGTGTTTTAAACAAAAATTCTGACCTTAACAAACATTAAATGAAACAAGTATTTCCATATACAAAGCAAAACAGAAAAAAAAAGAAAGAAATGACCACAAGGGGTGGGAGTGGGGCGCACATAAATGTTTATCAACTGGATCTCTTAAAAATAAATATACCCAGACACATTTTTAAGTTTATTCTGAATCAGCAACATTTTCTTCATCATTTTCTTAAGTCTAGATACTCAATGAAATAACAAATCAAGCCCTCATTTGCAGTATTTGCCAATTTCAGAGGCATGAGTCTCACCCTGAAATGTAACAATTGGCTTATGGATTGAGCTGATTCCAGCACACCTCTGAATGTGCAGCAAACTACAGATCTCTATTCCATACAGCTTGCATTTCCTCTTAGGCATAAAACAAATTCAACATGCAGCTTTCAAAGCTGTTCTGCTTGTCTACTCTTCCTTCTGGTCTCCTTTCTGCTGAGTAGCTGTCACTGTTATGGCTTTTCCCTTAAAATGAACTAAAATCTGCCTTTCTATGTCTTCTCTCCATCACTCCAGGTTCTACCCTCTGGGGCCAAGCTGAGTGATTTTGCTTCTCTTCCACTTAACATCCTTCTAAATACTCAAGACAACCTTTGGGCCCCTTAAAGCCAAAACCCCTCAGTAGCTCCTCACATGCATGGTTTGGAGCCTTGGTTGCCCCAGTACCATGGAAAAGGCTTTGGAGTCAAGAGAATCTAGACTGAGACATCCTCCTATCCTTGGGCCAGTGAGATAATATTTAAAAGAGCTGGCCCATGGGAGATGCTATATAAATACTAGCAGCTGTTATCAGTCATTTGAACTCTCTGTGCCCGGTTTCCCTCATCTATATATGAGAGGCCCCCTGAAGTCCCTTCCAGCCCAGAATCTATGAGCCTATTGCGCCCTCTTGTGGAACCTCTTTCATTGGGGCAGCCAGTCAATATCATCTTCACACACTGTTCACATTATGGGAAGCTTCGCTAACGGAGAAGATGTTCACTCTTCAGGGTCATTGTATTTGGAGGACCCTGACGTTGTGAGTTACTTTAGATTTGTGAACTGTCTCAATGTCATTTTGCTCTCTCTTTTTGGCCCAGAGATATAAGCATCAAAATGTTCTAAGATTTGATGACCCTGTAGGTCCCTCTCCTTCCAAAAATCTTGTAGCTATTGAACTCATGGGAGATGTTGGGAGGGGAAAACAAAGAGAAAAATTATTCTTGATGATTTGCAGCAGCATCTGACTCTGACATAGAATTGGAGTTGGCCTCGCTTGCATCTATTGTCATAGGATTATGGCAATCACATGAATTATTATCTGATCCCATTTCCTTCCCAGGAAGGTATTAGGACCTGGGTTCAGATCCTGCTTTGGATGTTTGCTTCCTTTGTGACCACAGATAAATCACTTTTGTTCTTTAAACCTGTTTCATCATTGTAATAAGTAGAGGATTGGAATAGGTTGCTTCTGATGTCCATTTCAATAATAAATAGAGACATCTAGGTGGCATAGTAGATAGAGTGCCAGGTGTGGAGTCAAGAAGACTCATGTTCCTGAGTTCAAATCTGGCCTCAGATGTTTACTAGCTGGTGACCTCAGGCAAACCACTTAACCTTGTTGGCCTCAGTTTCTTCATCTGTAAAATGAGCTGGAGAAAGAAATGGAACACCACTCCAGTGTCTTTGCCAAGAAAACCTCAGATGGGGCCATGAAAAGTCAGCCATGATCAAAATGACTAAAGAACAATAATATTATTAAATTAATAATAAAATGAAAATAATAATTGAAATGGACAAGGAGAGGGGGGCATAATCAGGATAGAACTAAATCTATCTGCTCCATTAAATATTATTAGTTTAGGGAATATGATTAGGTTCAATCCAACTTCTGACCACTTTGTCCCTTTGAGGAGGAAGGGGAACCCCAGTAAAAATGATATTAATGTAGTGTTAGAGATTCCAAGTAGAGAGACAAAGAGAGAGAGAAAGGGAGAGAGAGAGAGGGAGGGGGGGAGGGAGAGAGAGAGAGAAACCTCTGCATGGAGCTAAGGCCCACCTGTGGTATGGGCTGTCATGTGGCTCAAAGGGAGGAAGACTAGAGATCTCTAGCCTTTTCTCCCATCTGCCCTTTTCCAAGGAAGATTTTAATTCCTGCAAGAGCAGGGGCAGGAAGTTGAACCAGAGGTCACCTTGTTCTTCTCAGAGAGATGGGGTATTCTTATAACTATCTGTTCCTTTAAATGTTATTAGTCTAGGCAGGATATGATCAAGTTCAATATAATTTCTGATTACTTTGTTTTTGGAGGAGGAAGGGGAAGCCTCAAGCTCTCTCTCCAAAGCTTGACCCTCTTCCCCACCTAATACCAATTCCACAATGAACACACCTCACAGAAAGCAAAGATACCCACTTATCGAAGTTGTAGCAAAAGGGAGACCAAAGGACATATATGTAGGAGAATATACACCAGGTAATACAGAGTGAAGGAGCTTTCCTATCGGGAGTGGATGACCTGGCTTGACCAAGACAGGGTTCTAGATCTCACCCAAAGGCAAACTCCTCCCAGTCTCTAGTGTAGCAAGCTGGGGGGGGGGAGGACATGATGGAGGCTGCTGGCTCATCTCAGGGGTTCCCAGAGTCTTTCCTTCAGCAACCTGAATTGGGGTTGACCTCTTACATGTTCCCTCTTGAAATTGGAAGCCAGAAGCAATTTGATGCTTGAAGAGTCCCCCCAAAAGACTTGAAACTGAGGAGTCCTGGACAGGATTGATCAAGGCTGGAATACTCCCACCAACTCTGTCCAGCCAACTCCTGCAGGACAGGGCATTCATCTCCACCATAAGGCAAGAGTCTTATACCAATGGGCATTGGGACAGGAGCTACAGTAACAGCAATAGCAATAGCTAACATTTACACAGCACTTTCTAGGTGCTGTCTCCTTTGAGCCTCAGAACAACACTGGGCAGTGTTATTATGAGCCTTATTTCATAGATGAGGAAACTGAGGCAAACAGGGGTTAAGTGCCTTGCTCAAGGTCACACAGCTAGGAAATGTCTAAACTAAGATGTGAATTCTCATGTTCCAGACTCTAGGTCCAGCACTCTGTCCACTGGTGTCCACTGGACCACCTAGCTATCTCTGGCTCTATGATCTTTTTGAGTTGATTTTTAAGCCTATTTATAACACATTGATTCCATTCAGCCTTATTTTCCATCTTACTGTTAGCTCAGGCGGTGGGGTATACAGGGCTTGCCTTGGAGTCAGGAAGCCTCAAGTTCTGTCTCCTAGACATGGTAAACTTTGTCTCACAGGCAGGTCACAGCCTCTCAGTGGCCTAGCCAGCAATCTAAGGCTCTCAATCCCTGACAATTCCTGCATCAGGGAAAGGCATTTCTACAACAGGGAATTCCCCACACTGATGAAATTGTAGTTCTGGGCCCCTCAGAAAAAGAGAGGGAGAGAGAGGAAAAAAAACCCAACAACTTTGTGTTATGGTTCTAATTTGTTTAAATCTTTTTGAACCCTGTCTCTGGGCACACTGGCTTTCCAGCCAGTCTAACGTGTGTGCCTTCCCTCTGGGCTTTGTGTTGTTTACAAGCTGGAAAGGTGTGCACTGCTGTCTTTACCTACTTCTCTCCCTCTAGTTAGGATACTCTGCCTCTCTTTCTGTAAGCCTCTTTGTCTGCTGAGTTGCGTGGCTGACTGCAACTGGGGGAGAGATTGGATCACTCAGTTTTGCTGGGCTGATGGGAATGAATTCATATTCAATGACACCTATCCTCATCTGTCTTCCTAGTTGTACTTCCCAGGGTTTATTTGAAGAAAAGCCAGGCACTGAAACCATGGACGCATTGTGCTCAATGCAGAGTAACCCTCCACTCGGATTTATTGGTACCAACAACATCATTGTCATCTCCTTCACCATTTGAATACTATTTGTTAGAAGGAAAAAGAACTGAGACAGAGGTAAACAGAGACATATAGAGGGTGGAGAGGTGAGGACTTTACTCTAGGACATTGACCAAAATTGGAGTCCTTTAGGGCTAGAGAAACAATAGCTCTCAGTACGTAAATCATACATTCATTCAGCGCAGCTAGGGAAATGCCAGCTGGGAGGCAGAGGAGTGCTTCCCCCTGTCTCCCTCCTTCCTCCTTCCTCCCCCCACCCTTCCCCACTTAACTGAGGGCAGGCTTGACCCAGGTTCAGTCTATGGTCCTTGCCCCCAGACACAGACATTCCCAGTTATATTTCTGCTGCTAATCACTAACCCTTAAATTCACACAAAGCCAATCTAAGTGAGATTTCTTATCACCACAACTTTGTGAAGTGAACATGGAAAACATTCCTTTCTCCAAAGGGAGGTAATGATTGTCAGCAGAGATAGATATATCATATATAAGTAGATAGATAGATAGATAGATAGATAGATAGATAGATAGATAGATAGATAGATAGATAGATAGATAGTTGCTTGGCTGGATAAAAAGTTGAATGGATGGACTGAAAGATTGAAAGATGCTGGATAAAATGCTAGATAGATGGAAGAGATAGATGGAAGAATTTGACTCAGAAATCTCACTATTAGGTCTGTTTCCCAAGGTGATCAGAGGAAAAGGAAAAGAACCTGTATGTCCTAAAATATTCATAGCAGATCTCCTTGTGGTGGCAAAGAAATGGAAAATGAGGGGATGTCAATCAACTGGGGAGTGGCTGAACAAATTGTGGTACATGATTGTGATGGCATACCACTGTGCTGTAAGAAAGGATAAGCTGATTGATTTTAGAAAAACATGGAAAGACTTACATGAATAATGAAAACTGAAGTGGCCAGAATGAGGGGAATATTGTATCTAGTAGCAATAAATACAAGTAAATATATACGAGTAAACAATTGTATTTATATATACATATATATACTTGTATATATATATATATACACAAAAATACAAGTAAACAATAAAAACAAGTAAAATAAGTGTAAATGACTTAGTCGTTCTGAGTATTATGAATACTCAAATCAACCATAAAGAACCTATGAAGGAAGATGCTATCTACCACCAGAGAAAGAAGTGATGAATTGTTGTGTGTGTGTGTGTGTGTGTGTGTGTGTGTGTGTGATATATATGTGAATCTGTGTCAAATGGTGGCCTTCTCTAGTACAGGGTAGGGAGGACAGAGGGAGACAGTTTAGAACTTAAAATGTAACAAAAATTAAATTAAATTTAAAAGATAGATGGAAGGAAGGATGGCTAGATAGATGACAGAGAAAATGATGGATAGAAGAATGCTTGAATGAAAACAGGGTGGGTAATGGAGGGAAAACAGAGTAGGTCTTGTGTGATCCTGATTGTAGCTCCAAGGTATTTAAGTTATTTTTTTTTCTTGCCACTTGTAATATTTTCTCCTCAACCTGGGAGCTTTGAAATTTGGCTATGATATTTCTGTAAGTTTTCATCCTGGGATTTCTTTTGGGTAATGAGCAGTGGATTTTTTCTATTTCTACTTTACCTTCTTATTCTAAAACTTTGGGGTAATTCTTTTTCTGATCATAACTTTCAGGTAGTCCAACAATTCTCACCTTGTCTCTCCTCAATCTGTTCTTTAGTTGTTGTTGCTTTTGTTGTTTTTAATGGGAATTGTCACTTTATTGGCAGAAAACAGCAATAGGATGAAATCTGGGGTTTGTGAGCGCCAGACTTGAATGCCCTGGATCAGGCATTTAAGGTGAGAGTTAACCCTAACCCTTTGCTCTACATGCCTGAGAGTCTCAGGAGATTGAGCAAAGAGTCACAGGGTCCTAGATTTCAAGCTGGAAGAACCATTAGGGGTCACGTAGTCCAATCTCTTCTTTTGTAGCACAAGAAACAGGTTCAGAGAGGGGCACTGGCTTTTGATTTAAAGGAAGAAGGTGCTCTTCTCTCCACTGCCCCACTCTGCCCCCGCCCCAGTTCATGGCCCTGCCTCTCCAATCCAAGGTTCTTCCGCCCAACCCAAGGCTCTGCATCCCTAGACCAAGGCTCTACACCCCAACCCAAGGCTCTGCACCCCCAGTCCAAAGCCCTGTCTTCCCCAGGCCAAGGCCCTGCTCCCCAGAGCAAGGACAGGTGGGAGGTCCTTGGCAACCTACATGTCATCTTCAATGACCAGGCAGTAAAAGTCAATGCCAGCCCCATAGGTATGATATCCCAGGTCAGAGACATCAAGCTCATTCCACTGGGTTTCCCCACCAGAAGCCTTAAGGCTTGGCAGCTCAGGGACTGGGCTCATGCATGGAAGGGGCAGGTCTTTAAAGATGGGTCCCCTGACACCCAGGTCTCCTTTGGGGTCAGAGTCAGGGTCTGGGTCTGGACCAGGCCAGCCCTCCAAGAAGCCACCAGGGAAGGTTAATGTGGGATCCTTGTCCTCCTGTAGCTGAGTCTGGGGGAGTCACTCACCAGGGCCCTGTAGTGCATCTTTTGCAGCAGGGCTAGATGCAATTACTTCCAAAAAGTGGAGGAAGTCATCATGGAGCCTGGCCTCCACAGCAGCAGGGTCACAACATGTCGGTGCTGCCGAAGCAGGCAGAGAACAGGGTGTAAGGGATCATGGGTCTCACTCTCAAATGTGATGAAGATCAGCATTCAGGACAATTTGAGGAGCCTCCACAGGCCTTCCCTGAATTTGTGTCTGCCCCAGGGAGGCATCTGAGAGAACCACAATAAGACATTGGCATCAGCTGAGGTTCATGATCAGCTTTACAGAGGGCTCTGAGTTGGGGAGGACATCTCTGTCATCCAGGAAAAGATCGCAGCCATGCCAATTCTCCAGCTGTGGTTTCAGGATGAAGTTCACAAACCTCCCATCTTCTGGAGAGCTGGTGTAAGAGATGTAGGCATCATAGAGCTTCCCATCTGAGAATGAGAGGGAAAGAGGAAGGGAGGGAGAGAAGGAGGAAGGAAGGAAGGGAAGGAAGGAAGGAAGGGAGGCAGACTACCTGTGGGACCCCAGGCAAGTCACTTCACCCCAATTGCTTCACCAAAAGAAAAAAAAAGAGGAAGGGAGGGAGGGAAGGAAGGAAGGGAAGAGGGAAGGGAGAAAGGGAGGAAGGAAGGGAGGGTTTCAATCTATCCTTTAGATCAGTTGTTTTCCTAATGGGATGTTTCTCATTCTGTACTATTTTTTCATTCTTTTGATTTTGTTTATTTCTTGGTGTCTTATATGCCATTAGCTTCACCTTTCCCAACTCTGGCTTTCAGTGGCTCATTTTCTTCTTTAAGTTTTTGGACTTCTTTTTCCAATTAGTTGACTTTCTTTTTTCATATTTTTTTTTAAATTTTCTTGGATTGCTCTCATTTTTCTCCTGTTTTTTCTCAATCTCTCTAATTTGGTCTTTGAAGTCTTTCTTAAGTTCTTCTAAGACGTCTTTTGGCTCTAGTCCTAGGGTGTAGGGAATGGTGCTTCATCTTACAAATTTAAATAGTTAACTAACGGTTTTTATTTTCACTTTCATTATCTTTGGAGACCTTAGTCAAAGCACAAAACAAGATAAATGTGCTTTCTAGAGCTGAGGACCACCAGACTGAAATCTGCAAAGATGATGAACAGAGGCTGCTTGCTGGTAAGAATCTGGGGGCAGCTAGACAGGGACTGTCAGCTCTCTGTCCCCCTACCCCAACCCACTCACCACCAAGGAGAGGGGGGAGAAACTGCTGTAGCTTTGATTCCAGAAGTCAGGGAGAAGGATTCAAAGGAAGATATCAAGTCATCTGGGGATCCTCTCCCCATTTTCCTCCCTAATTCCCACTCTAACTCTCTTCCAGCTCCCTCCTCCTCCCCTCACCCAGTCTTTCTCTTCCGTTCCCCTCTCCCTAATTCCCTGACACCTGGTGCCCCCTCCCCTCATTCCCCTCCCCAGTCCCCTCCCACCCTCTCCATGCCCCTAAACTGAGCACAAAAAGAATTCAAAGTCCATATTCTTTTCCTCTTGAATTTAGTGACAGGCAGAGGGGGAGAAGACTAGAGGGGTGGTGGAGGAAATAAGAAGCCTGTCTAAGGAGAGTGAGATGCTGTGTGGTAGGGAGAGGACAGGACGGGATCTCTGAGGTGAGGGAGGGCAACTTCCTACAGTTGTTGTTAAGTCATTTTTCAGTCGAGTCTGACTCTTCATGGCCCCATTTGGGGTTTTCTTAACAAAGAGACTGGAGTGCTTTCCCATTTCCTTTTCCAGCTCATCTTACAGATGAGTAAACTGAGGCAACCAGGGTTAAGTGACTTGCCCAGGGTCACACAGCTAGGAAGTATCTGAGACTGTCTTTGAACTCAGGTTTTTTTGACTCCAGGCCTGGCACTCTATTTACTATGCCACCTCTCCGCCTGCCTGACACACAGTAGGTGTTTAATAAATGCTTGCTGACTTTTCCTTAGCTCTCTGAGAATGAGCTTTCTTATCCCCAAAGTAAAGGGGTCAGATTAGAAATTAGGGGTTCTTACCTGTTTTTTAGGGGGGCAGGCATGGATTTCTTTGTCAGTTCTATAAGGACTATGACTCCTTGCCAAACTAAGTTTTTAAATGCATAAAATAAAAGAAAACCAACTTTTATTAACTGCCTAGTTTGTGCCAAGCACTGTGCCTTTAAGTACTTTATCTTAACTCATATTCATTGTGGCCCTTAGGCCCCTCCTTTCCCCACTCCCTTAGAGATAAACATGTGTTAGAAGTTTTAGGTGGAGCACATTTGATAAGCAGCCAGGCCAACTGAGGCAATAATTCCCCTGTAGAGCCCTCCAGTAGAGTCTTCTCCTCTCTTCACTTCTCCATTGTCTCTCTGGTTCTTATCAGGTTTGTGGGAGGCAATCCTACAACATCACTTGGAGAGGGAGAGAGTGGATGGAGTCAGGAAGACCTGAATTTGAATCCTGCCTCACACATTTACCAGGTTAACCTTCCAACCTTGGTTTCCCTACCTGTAGAATGGCTATAGTAACAGTACAGAGTACTATTGATGAAAAGTGTGAAAAGTTCTCTGGAAACCTTTGAAGTGCTAAATTAAGTGTGAATTAGTCATGGTTAAAATTACATAGCATTAGCATCCATGTCCCTCTCTCCTAATGCCCTCCCTCCCCTCCCCCCACCCTTCCCAGGTTGGTGCTTTTTAAAGTTACAGACTGGTTAGACTCTCTTAGAGATTAGATCACAGGATCCTAGGTCTAGAGCTGGAAGGGCTCTCTGAGGCCTTCAATCTCCTCATTTTACAATTCAGGAAACTGAGAGCAACAAAGGTTAAATGACTTATCCAGGGCAGCACAGTAAGGGCCTGAGGCAGGATTCTAACTCAAATCTTCTGGCTCCCATTCCTGTGCTTTCTCCAGTACATCCTGTTGTCTCTCCACCCCCTCATTTTACAGATAGGGAAACTGAGGCCCCAAGAGGGTAAGTGGCTAGCCCACAGTCCTCTAGCCAGTGAGTGACAAGGTCAAGATTAGAACCCAGTTTTCCTGACACCCTGGACTACACTCTCTCCCTCACCCTCATTACCTCCTTCTTTCCTTTCCCAAGATATTCAGCATCATTACAACTCAGCTCATGCCCTTCAAGGAGGCACTGGAGTGTATGATGGGAGAGTATAAGGTAAATGGGCAATGCTGCCCCACCTGCCATCCAGGTAAGTCAGAAAGTTTCCTTCTCTAGGACAAATCACTCTCTTTCTCTGGTAAATGACTGCCTCTTCCAGGTTCTCTTCCTTGCTTTATGTAACCATTCAAATTCCAGAATCATAGAATCTCAGAGCTCAGAGGGACAATGGAGGGCATCTCAGAGCTCAGAGGGACCATGGAGGGCATCTCAGAGCTCAGAGGGAAGGTGAAAGGCATCTCAGAGGTTAGAGGGAAGGTGAAAGGCATCTCAGAGCTCAGAGGGGCCATGGAGGGCATCTCAGAGCTCAGAGGGAACGTGGAGGGCATCTAGGAGCTTAGCAGAAAGATGGAGGGGCATCTAGCCTGATCTTTTCCCCAACATAAGAATCTCTTCTTGAATACTTTAGGAATGGGGTACTTACTACCTTATAAGGCAGCTGTTCTTATTGATGGAAAGGACAAATTTATTCAGTCAGTAGGCTTTCATTGAATGCCTCTTGCATGCAGAGTTTAGAGTTAGCTGTGGTCTAAGGCTATAAAGGGTTTAATGCAGGACTGTCTGGACCAGAAGGAGGACAGTTGGGTGGTCATTGAGGTAAGAGAGGAATAAGGGAGAAGTCCCCCAGGGCACATCTCTCATTTCCTCTGCCTTCTCCATGGAGTTCAGAGCCAGGTGGGACTTAGGACACTTATTCAGCAAATGCTGATGGTGGAGAGACTTGTTACCTTTGTCTAGATCCCTGATTCCATTCACCTCATCACAATTCCCTATTCCTGGCCCTTAGACCCTTTATGCCATTCCCTCATCTGTGCATTTGTCTGCATAATGAGGGGCCCCTTATGTCTGGAATGCCCTCCTTACCTCAGCCTTGTGGAACTCTTGAATGCCTTCAACAGACAGCTCAGATACCACCTCTCCAGAAGATCTTTTCTGATTCTCTCTCATTTTTTTAAATAGTATTTATTTATTTTTAACATTAATTTTTAAAAAGTTTTGAGTCCCCAATTCTCTCCCTCAGCCCTTCCCCCACCCATTGAGAAGGGACACAATATGATATCAATTATACGTGTGAAGTCACGCAAAAAAAGTTCCATATTAGTCATATTGCAAAAAAAAAGCAAGAAAAAGAAAATGAAAAAAATACATACTTCATTTTCCACTAAAAATTCATCTGATTTTCTTTTTCTCTGTCTCTTCTCCCTCCTTCTCTCTGCCTCCTCTTTCTGTCTCTCCTTGTCTCTGCCTCTGTATCCTCTCCTCTCCTCTTCCCCACCCCAAATCACTCTATGTATTTGGTGTGAATTTGTATTGATTTATGTCTGTGCATATTATATTCCTCTGGTAGAATGTAATCTCCTTGAGGGCAGAGACTGTTTCTGGTTTGGTTTGGTTTTGTTTTGTTTTTGTCTTTTTATTCCCAAAGCCAATCTGGCGCCTTGAAGATTTGTTGTTATTCACTCTTGTGAGACTCTTCATAATTCCATCTGGGGTTTTCATGGCAAAGATGTTGGTTGGAGCAGTTTGCCATTTTCTCCTCCATCTCATTTTAACCAGTAAAGAAACTGAGGAAAGCAGGATTAAGTGACTTGTCCAGGGTTACACAGCTGAAAAGCATCTCAGGCCATATTTTAATTCAGGTCTTCCAGACTCCAGGCCTGGCACTCTACCCACTGCACCACCTAGCTGCTCAGATTAAGCCTTGCAGATAGAGAATGCTTAAGAAGTTTTTTGTTTCATTGCCTGCTGAGTCCTTGGGAACATTATTCTGGATAACTCCATGTACGTAAACTCTAAAGCAAACAAACTTGGGTTCTGCATCTTGTACCTCCACCTTCACCCCACTAAAAACCCACCCTCCCCCACCTTGTGTTTTCCCTGGTCCCCCATGGCAGTGACCATCGAGGCCAGCTTAGATGGGGCCTAAGATTCCGGACCTGCCTTGGCCTAAATTTACTGCACTTCTGCATGGGATGAGATCTTAGGGACCGGCTTGACTGCTGGATCTCCTCCTCACTACCTGTGTGACCTGGGGCCAGTCACTTAGTTTCCACATCTGTAAAGCAAGAGCATAGGACTAGGTGACTTCTAACATCCTAACAGGATAAGGGAGGGAGCTATAGAGGAGAGGGAGACAGAATGGGTCAAAGGAGTGTACAAAAGGATATTAAGATTTAGGAGAATGGGAGGATAAAGGAGGGATTGCTAGAGTGGAGGTAGGTTAAGTAATAGGAGACTAAGAGAGCAGGTAGAAGTAAAGTAGAGAGGTTAGGAGAGATAGGAAAAATAAAGAGATGTGCACAGGCAGAAAAACAAAGATTAGGAGTAGAATCTCTTAGAGAAAGTATATGTTTATATATGTGTATATTTATATTCGTATTTATGTGTATATATGTATAGATTTATGTATATATCAATACCTATATATAAACATATCCATGCTCAATTACGGCCTTGAGGTGGCAGGTAAGGGAAAAAGGACAAAGTAAAAAGTATACAGCAGAGAAGAAAAGAAAACTTACGAGGATGCAAAGAAAAGATAGACAGCTTTCAATATAACACATAGCATTTAATATATAGGCTTTCTGGAAATGAAAACTTAGAGCTATATATTTTGAATCCTCTCCTATGTTCTTCTGTGCACATGACTTTTTTTGGTGCTTTTAATTTTAGAACCTGTGTTTTTTAAAAATTTTAGAACATATGTTCTTTATGGTGTTATTGGTTATTTTTTGTTGTTTTTTGTTATTATTGTTTATTATTGTCTTATTATTTAGAACATGGTATCTAAGATTGCCATCCCGACTCTGAATCTCATTTTTTTGAGGTCCCACCAAGCTTTGACATTCTATGCTCTCAGTTCCTTCCTAATTCTGATGCTATCTGTTCTAAGAGCCCTCTCGCCTCTAAAATTCTGTGTTCTAAGATTGTCCTTCCAATCTGAATCCTATGTACTGAAGTCCCTCCCAGCTTTGACATTCTACGTTCTAGAGTTGTTTTTAATGCTGACATCCTAAGTGCTTGTTCTGAGGTCCCTTTCACTTTTGACACACTGGATTCTAAGACTCTGAGGATTGGGATACAGATGTGTACCATCCTAATTTTCATACTAAACCACCCTAAGTTTCACAGGTGGCCTTAGTAGATTCCTGTGTCTGGGCTTGGGTGTGCATATGGTGGTGTCAGGGTAGCACGGAGGGGAGAGTGGGCCTGGAGGGGAGTGGTTTCTTCAGGGAAGTATCCTCTGCCTTGTTCTTGATGCTGACGCTTTAATACCATTAGGTTACAGAGTTCATGAGACATGCAGTCTAATGACAGGCACCACATGTGTGCCTTGCGATCCCGGGACCTACACAGCACACCGGAGTGGCCTGAAGGACTGTCTCCAGTGTAAAGTCTGTGACCCTGGTAAGGAGAGCTTCAGAGGCCTTGGGGTCAGCTAGGATCCTGGATCTAATCCAAAGCCTGCCTGCTCCAGTGTTCTGAACTGAGCCCTCTATAGTTCCCTGGAAAGAGGAGCTGGGTTCAGAGAAAGTCATCTGTCTTGGACCTACCCAGACAAGATGGGGTGAGGGGAAGTCAATAGCCTAGAGAGCAGGAGTTGGACCATATTAAGAAGAGAGGCAGTGAGAGTGCTGTGCTGATAGGTGGGAAACCTGGGTTCCATTTCAGGTTTTTCCTTGTGTGGCCTCGGACAATCATGTTCATTCTTTGGACCTCAATTTGCCTATCTATAACATGAGGGGCTTGCACTAGTTCCTAAGGTTCTAGGGCATGGTATTTCCCACCTAGGAAACACAAGATAGTTTATTCACACTCTCTCACACGACCCCAAAATACAGACGATCCAAGCTGGAAGAGACCTCAGAACACAGCCCTTAAAATGTCTAGGATTCCAAAGGGGGCTATCAGCAGAGATGACCTTAGGAACCTGTGAAAGAGGTTGATTTAATCTCTAGAGCCCTGCCAACACCTTAAATGTTCCCGTCTACATCCTTCTGACCCCTAGCCATTGGAGTAGGAGGATTGTCTCATGACCTGGTGCTTCCTCCTGGCTGCTCAAAACCTCTCCCTACAACCCCCAGGTAGGCTTGTCCTCCCCAGCCATGCTCTAGCATTTCTAATTACCTCCCCATCTCTCCACTCTCTTCTGATGATTCCCCTGCCCTCAGTTGCCTGCCAGGTAGGAATTATGCTAAGCAATTAATTCACACTAGATTGTGGATGACTGCTGATGTTGCCCTTTTCCAGGGTATTTAAAAAGTAGGTTCTTGTTCACTTACAGGCATGAATTTCTAAAGATGAATTTTCACCACAGTGATGGAGGATGGTTTTCAAGAACAAAGGACATCCCCTCCCCATGATCCCACCCCACTTTACCCCTGAAGTTCAGGTGGGGCAGGGCTACATCAAGCTGGAGAAGGGGGTGTGTATCCCTGTTGGTGGGGGGATGGCAGAGAGGGAAGGCAGGTGAATGCTGGGTGGTGGAGCTGGCCCTGCTGCCCAACTCATCTACTTTGGCCCTTAATATTCTGGAACTTTGACTTCTCTATTTTAATGGGCTGTTTTGTATAACTGGGAAATGTGCTTAATCATGTCAAATCTCTTGACAATGTAAAGTCCTGGGGACTCTCCTTGTTCTTGCTCCCCCATTTGCCTTTTTCTTCTCCCCCCAGGAACTATGACCTTCTCCCCTCAGGATCTTTCCCCTCCCTAGCCCTATGGAAGGGATCATAAGATAACAGATCCAGAGTTGGGAAGGACCATACAGGTTGTCTCCTTCAGTACCCTCATTTTACTGAAGAAACCAACCCCAGAGAAGTTGTGACATGTCCAAAGTCACAAGGCAGTGAATCGGAGAGTCAGGATTTGAACTCAGGTCCCATGACTGCAAGTTAAGTGCTTGTCATAGCTTTTCATCTTTCCCTCCTCCAGTCTCAGACACATCCCTTTTTAGAGTTTAAAATGGTTTTCTTCCTCATTATTGATACCAAGTAATGTACCCAGAAGAGTCCTAGATGAGAAGTCAGAGACTCTGGATTCAAATCCTAGCTCTGCCATTTACTATCTGTATGATGTTGAGCAAGTCAGTCAAGAAATATTCATTAAGCACCTATTATATGTCAAGCACTGAGCTAAGTCCTGGGGATACCAAGAAAGACCCTGAAGAAGCTCACAGTCTATTGGGGAGACACCATGAAACAGGTGTACAAACATGAGATAGGCAGGGCAAAGTGGAGATAATATCACAGGGAAGGCACTAGCCTTAAGGGAAATCAGGAAAAGGTAACTAACCTTTCTGGGCTTCCATTTGCTTATCTTTGAAATGATAGTAACAAATCAGGTTCCTCCCAGCTCTGAGTCAATTGTCTATCCATTTGGCTAGGAGACAGGCTCAGGTAGCCAAGTGGTACAGTGGGTTGAGTGTTGCAGTCAGGAAGACCTGGGTTCAAGTGTGATCTCAGACACTTCTAACTTTGTGACCTTGGTCATCACTTACCCTCAGTCTGCCTCAGTTACCTCAACTGTTAAATGGGGACAATAACAGCATTTAATTCTCAGGGTTGTTATAAAGATCAACTGAGATAATTGTAAAGCACTTAGCACAGTGCCTGGCACATGGTGGGTATGCACTAAATCAATACTTGTTCCCTTCCACCTTCTCCTTTCTTCTTGCCACCTCTCAGTGACTCTGCATGACCTTAAGAAAGTCCTTTGCCCAACCTGGTCCTCAGTGGCTGTATCTGTACGATGTACAATGTACAATGAGTGCCCCCCTGGAGGGGTTGTTAGATTGGCCTGAGATTGTGATGAACCCAGAGCTAAGGCAAAATCTGGCTGTTTGGCATATCCAGGCAAACACGTAGGCTGAAGTGGCCTAGAGTGAGCTGTCCAGGGTCCCTCACTGCCCAGGATCTAGGGCAACATCTGAGCCTAAAGCTGGGTGGGCTACCGCAGGGTGCTCCCTCCCTGGACCTTTCTCAACAGAGGCTAGGCAATCTTGGGTTGGGAGTGGGAGAGAAGGGATTCTTGTTTACAAGTGAGTCAAACTAGAAGGCTCTGAGATTTGCTGCTGCCCTGCAGGACCTTCTAGTCTAGGTGAGGATGAAAGATGCATTCAGCACTCATGGTGCCATCTCTTACCCTCCATATCCAATCTATATTCAAGGCTTGTAGAATTCACCTTTTGCGGCATCCCCTGATTGTCTCCCTTCTCTTCTCTGACACTGCATCCTCCCTGCTGCAGATCCTCTTCACCTCACACTTGGGTTATTTCAATAGATGCTCTGTCCTCACCTCCACCTCATGGCTTCCCTGGCTTCCTTCAAATCCTAGCTAAAAGTCCACCTCCTACAGGAAGCCAACCCCCTTCCCCCTTAGGTCTAGAATCTTCCCTCTCTTGATCATCTCCAGTTTATCCTGTATAGATCTTGTTTGTACATACATGTTTGCATGCTGTCATCCCCATAGACTGTGACCTCCTTGGGAACAGGGACTGGCTTTTGCCTTTCTTTGTAATATATGCCCAGAAGATAATAGGTCCTGAATAAATATTGACTGACTGACTTAATATCTCCTTCTTCTCTTTGTTCTTTCTTTCAGCATTTGGCTTGGTGACCAGAAGGGAATGTTCACCTATATCCAACACAGTGTGTGGCTGCTCTCCAGGGTATTTCTGCACCAACATGAAAGATGATGACTGTGAGATGTGTGTGGCTCACCGAGTCTGCACTCCTGGCCAATACGTGAAATCTAGAGGTTAGCCTGCCCCATCTCCATCCACCCAGGCAGCCAGAAGTATTCCTGCTCCAGGCTGCTGCTCTGGAAACCTGAGAAATGCCCAGCCCTCCCTCAGCTCAGGATGCCTCCCTAGAGTCAGGTGTGATACAGTGGGAAGATGGTTGTATCTGGTGTGAGAGGGCTTGGGTCCAAAACTCAGCTTTAGCCCTCACTGTCGCTGTGATCCTGAGGTTATACAACCTTTCTGGCCCTCAGTTTCCTCATCTGTAAAATGAAAAGGTTAGACAATATGACCTCTGAGGTCTCTTCCTGATGGAAATTTATGAGTCCATGACCATGAAGTGTGGTTTCAGGTCCCCTGTCTTATCTACATGGACCTCAGACAGCCTGGGGCAAATGTGGAATTAGGCAGAGCTGAAAAAAGTCAACCAAGGCCTCCCCAGTGGTGTCATCTTCCAATGTGCTTTGGTGGCACAAATGATTCTGAATCTTTATTTGTTTTCCTTTTAAATGAAATACTTTTTTAATTGACAAAAACCTGTCTTCTCTCCTTCTCACCTTTCCTCCCTAACTGGATAAGAAAAAGAAAAAGAAAAACCTTCATAGCAAATTTATGTGTAGTCAAACAAAGCACATTCATGCATTGACCATTTCCAAACAGAGTATATGTTTCCATTGGTGCCTTGAGTCCTTTACTTTTCCATGAGGAAATGGGTAGCATGTTTAAACATGAGTCCTCTGGAATTATAACTGGTCATTCCATTAATCTGAGTTCTGAAGTCTTTTCTAAGTTGTTTGGCTTTACAATGTTATTGTTACTGTATAATCCATTCCCCCTGGCTCTGCTCATTTCACTCTACATCAGTTCATACAAGTTTTCCCATGTTTCACTGAAATCATCCATTTCATCATTTCTTATGGCAAAATATTATTTCCTTACATTCATGCTCCATAATTTGCTCACGCAGTAGTGGTGTCAGTGGGCCAAATGCACACTTTTTTTATTTTATTAATTAATTTTGATTTATCTAGAATCACTTCCATAAGCTTTTGAGTTTAAAATTCCCCCCCTTCCTCCCCACGACCCTCCCCAAGACAGTGCACAATCTGATATAGGTTATACATTTACATTCCTATTAAACATATTTTCACATTACTGGTGTTGTAAGTAAAAATTAAAACCAATAAGAGGAACCATCAGAAAGAGGAAACAAAACTCAACAGATGAGAAAAAAATAGCAATTCAACTTTGATAGTTCTTTCTTCGGATGTGGATAGCATTTTCCATCACAAGGCCTCTGGAGATGTCTTAGATCCTTGTATTGCTGGGAAAGGTTAAGTTTATCAATATTAGTCATCAGACAACATGGCTGTTATTGTGTACAACGTTCTCTTGGTTCTGCTCATTTCACTCAGCATCAGGTCTTTCCAGGTTTTTCTGAAGTCTGCCTGTTCATCATTTGTTATAGTACAATAATATTCCATTACATTCATATACCACAACTTGCTCAGCCATTCCCCAATTGATGGGCAGGGGGGATGCACATCTTAACAACTATTGAGGTGTAGTTCCAAAGAACTTTTCAGAATGTCTAGACCAAGTCACAGCTCCACCAACAGTATATCAATATGCCTGTTTTCCCATAGTCCCTCCAGCCTTTGCCATTTTCCCTTTTTGTTAGTCTTCTCAATCTGATGGATATGAAGTGGAACCATGGAGTTACTTTAATTTGTATTTCTCTAATTATTAGAGATTTAGAACACTTAAAAATAAGGATGTGGATAACTTGGATTTCTTCCTTTGAAAACTGCTTATTCCTGTCCTTTGACGATTTATCATTTGGAGAATGGCTCTTATTCTTATACATTTGAATCAATTCTGTATATATTTCGGAAACAAGACTTTTATCAGTGAAACTTGCTGCAAAGATTTCCAACCCCATCCTCTTTCCCAGTTACCTGTTTCCCTTCTGATTTTAGGTATGTTAGTTTTGTTTGTGCAAACTCTTTTAAATTTTATATAACTGAAATTGTCCATTTTATCCTCTGTGATCATCTCTCTCTCTCTTATTTTGTCATAAACTCTTCCCATATTTGTAGATCTGATAGGTAACTTCTTCATTGCTCCTTTTCCTAGTTTATGATGTGCCCCTGGGTTCTTAAAGGTGATCCCCAAAGAGTTCAAGTTCTGGCAAATGCTGCTGTGTTGGAGGCTTCTAAAATAGGACCAGGGGTCTGGTTTTCTGGAGGTCTGTTTCTGAGGACTTGCCTAGTTAAGTACAGACGGACTCAGCTCCTATAGGCCTCAGGGGATGGATGTTTCAGATATAACTGTGAAAGGCCATCTGCTAAAATTGAGGGGGAAAGAGAGGAGATTCTGGGAAGATGGCAGTGTAGGTCAGAAAATTCCAAGTTCTCTAGATTTCCCCCCACAAACAAGACAAAATATCACCTCAGGGTGAATGTGGAGCAGTAAAAATATACAAGAGTTAGAGCAGAACAGTGGTCCTCTTGGGACAACTGAGAGAAGATCCAAAGAAAATTCCCAGGAGATTTGGTTCCTGTGAAGTATAACCACCTCCAATCTAGTTCCACTGAAACAGCAAGCAGTGTGTCCTGGGGCTAGCTGGATTGGGAGGCAGCCTGGGCCCCAACCACTGAAATTTTCACTTCCTAGACAGTGTGGGGAGTCAAGCATCCAAGCAGGGGAAGATGGAGGAAATTTCTGCAGATAAGGGACAGCAGGCCCACCTGCGCTGCTGGGGCCCTGGGGGAAAAGGAACCAGCACATGCTGGATGAATGCAAAAGCAGTGGGGCAGGGGCATTGCTGGCTGTAGACACTTATAGACAGGCAAAGTTCTTGGTCTGGTTCCAGGCCAGAGGGGAGAACTGAAGGAGGTCTTGAGGCCAGAGATACCATCCTTCATGCCTCATGACCAGAGGTGATTGTAATAATAAGCTTCTATAAATTATAAATAAATAAATAAAGGAGAAAGACCCCAACTATAGAAAGTCACTATGGGAATAGAGAAGACCAGGGTTCATCTTCAGAGGAGGATACTGAAGCAAAAACAAAAAAGGCCTTCCTACCCAAAAGAATAACATCAAATGGTTACCTGCCAAAAAAGAATTTGTAGAAGAACTTCATAAACGCTTTAAAAATCAAATGAAAGAGATTGAGGAAAAAAAATTTTAATAAGAACAATTCAAGAAAAACAAGATTATGAAAAGGAAGTCAACCAATAGGAAAAGGAGATCCAGAATCTTTTTTTTATTAATTTATTCTGATTTATCAGCAATCACTTCCATACGCTTTTGAGTTAAAATTTTTTCTCCCCCTTCCTCCCCCCCCCAAACCTCCCCAAGACAGTGCACAATCTCATATAGGCTTTACATTTACATTCCTATTAAACATATTTTCACATTAGTGGTATTGTAAGTAAAAATTAAAACCAATAAGAGGAACCATCAGAAACATGAAACAAAACTCAACAGAAGGTAAAAATAAGTGAGAGCGATTCGACTTCCATAGTTCTTTCTTTGGGTGTGGACAGCATTTTCCATCCCGAGGCCTCTAGAGATGTCTTAGATCCTTGTAATGCATAGAAGGGTTCAGTTTAACAATATTAGTCATCACATAACGTGGCTGTTATTATGTACAAAGTCCTCTTGGTTCTGCTCACTTCACTCAGCATCAGGCCATATAAGTCTTTCCAGGTTTTTCTGAAGTCAGCCTGTTCATCATTTCTTATAGCACGATAGTATTCCATTACATTCATATACCACAACTTGCTCAGCCATTCCCCAATTGATGGGCATTCTCTCAATTTCCAATTCTTTGCCACCACAAAAAGAGCTGCTAGGAATATTTTTGTACATGTGGGTCCTTTTCCCATTTGTTTGATCTCTTTGGGACATAGGCCTAGAAGTGCTATTGCTGGGTCAAAGGGTATGCACATTTTTGTAGCCCTTTGGGCATAGTTCCAAATTGTTCTCCAAAATGGTTGGATCATTTCACAACTCCACCAACAATGTATTAGTGTTCCAATTTTCCCACATCTTCTCCAACATTTATCATTTTCCTGTTTTGTCATGTTGGCCAATCTGATAGGTGTGATGGTACCTCAGAGTTGTTTTGATTTGCATTTCTCTAATCAATGATTTAGAGCATTTTTTCATATGACTATAGATGGCTTTAATTTCTTCATCTGAGAACTGTCTGTTCATATCCTTTGACCATTTATCAATTGGGGAATGGCTTGTGTTCTTATAAATTTGTCTTAATTCTCTATATATTTTAGAAATGAGGCCTTTATCAGAGAGACTGGTTGTAAAAATTCTTTCCCAATTTTCTACCTTCCTTCTAATCTTAGTTGCATTGGCTTTGTTTGTGCAAAAACTTTTCAATTTAATGTAATCAAAATTATCCATTTTGCTTTTCATAATGTTCTCTATCTCCTGTTTGGTCATGAATTCTTCTGTTCTCCATAGATCTGATAGGTAAACTATTCCTTGTTCTCCCAGTTTACTTATGGTATCAGCCTTTATATCTAAGTCATGAACCCATTTTGACTTTATTTTGGTATATGGTGTGAGATTTGGGTCTATGCCTAGTTTCTGCCATACTCTTTTCCAGTTTTCCCAGCAGTTTTTTTCAAAGAGTGGGTTCTTATCCCAGAAGCTGGGGTCTTTGGGTTTATCAAATAATAGATTACTATAGTCATTGACTACTGTGTCTTGCATATTTAACCTATTCCACTGATCCACCTCCCTATTTCTTAGCCAGTACCAAGCAGTTTTGATGATTGCTGCTTTATAATACAATTTAAGATCTGGAATTGCTAGGCCACCTTCCCCTGCATTTCTTTTCATTAGTTCCTTTGATATTCTGGACCTTTTGTTTTTCCAAATGAATCTTGTTATTATTTTTTCTAACTCTATAAAATAATTTTTTGGTAGTTTGATTGGTATGGCACTGAATAAGTAAATTAGCTTAGGTAGGATTGTCATTTTTATT